AATATATATATATATATATATATATATATATGATTATTTTTTATTTTAGAAATGAATGGATTAAAATTTTCGATGAAAAAGAAAATATACATATGCAGACATAGTAGTATCTGATGGTGTGTGTTGCACAAAAAAACAGAACTTAGGGATCAATGGTCACTGAATGGTCTAGTCAGAGCTCCTAGGCGCTTAAGAGTTGAATAAAGGGGAATGGGGGTTTGCACACAGAGTAGTTTATAGTGGTTCATCAGTTCGAGAACTCGACTAATCCATTATGAAGGGAGTCTATTATTCCTGGAGATATTATTGATAATGGGGGAAGATTACACATAATATTTTCTTAGGCTAGATGCTTATATCTTGTTGTGAGGGATATGCCTCGCATTTATAGTCTTCAGAGGCCTTGCATGATCCTAGGCGTGATTTTTGTCCTTTTCTTGTAATGGTTGCACCTTTCATGCGATTGTCATGGACATCATTGAGGCGGTTGCGACTTCTTTGCCCAGATGCATGACTATTATGTTATGTACGATGCTTGAGTGGAAGCCAGCTGTCTTTTGTGCTATTCTTGTGGAGTTGTAGTTGCTGGGAAGGAGGTACCGACCTCAAGCTCCCTAGCCAACCATGATGGGCTGAATAGCCCAAGCTTAACCTTAGGCATATTTAGGATATCATCAGTTGCCCCCCAGTCCCCAGTTAGGTAAGTTACATGAGTTGGGGCTGACCTATGACCTAAGTGAGTAAGGTTAACTTGGTTCAACCTCGGGATTCGCACGATGGGACGTTTCTCGACTGTTACAATATTGCAAATGTGCAACATTTTTGCCTCGTTTCTCGTGCACGTCCTTCACCCCTGGTTCCATGTGTTCGTTCATACGCTTGCCTTAAATATGTCTTGCAAGCAAAAACCTCTTTTTCCATTGTTTCAAATTCCCTTGACCTTTTTCTTTCATATTTCTTTCCTTTCTTTTTCTCTGCGATTTCATCTTTTTCAATCTTCTGGGGACTTAAGATTTCACTAATAAACCAAATTGGCTCTAAAGTCTTGGTGAAGCTTGCTTAGTTCATTCCTTGAACTCATCTCAGGTCTTCATTCGTTGATCATCTTTGACTAGGTATGTCCTCGACCTTATTTCCTTCTTGGGTTTCTATTCATTCTGGATCCCTCAGATTCGAGGTGGTTACTCCATTTATGAACTTTTCATTTCTGTTACTTTAGAAGTCGAGGTCTTTCCTTGTCTTTCCTTTCTCTCTTCTTAGATCCCTATTCTATTGCTAGGGTCTTCCTTTTCGGTCATTGGAGCCTTGATCCCAGGGCTCTTGAGGATTGTTTCTCAAACGTTCCTTCTATATATACTTCTTTTAACCTCCTTTTCTCCTATGTCGTTATGTCTGCCTCTTCTGAAGCCATTGCCTCGTCTGTCTCCCTTGCCATGAGTGATAAATACCCAGACCTAGAGGAAGATGACCAAGGGGATATAGGCACCGAGATAGATAAATTTCTAGGCATTGATTCTCTTGATGCTGAGGAGGAGGTAGAGGTCCCTCTACTTCTACCTGACCCTGCTCCAGGGTCTTAGAAGTCCTAAAAAGGAAAGTTCAAGAAAGGCGAGGCTGGGAGTTCCGGCAGTGTTGAGGTCACTCCCCGAGCTTCAGACCTTGTAGGTTTCAATGAGATCACCCTTCCCTTTCTGAGTGTCCTTTCTGCCAGGTTCGGCTTTCCTAGGGGTATGCAATATTTATCTCCTCATGTAGACATCCGGTACGACACCATTGTGCCTAAGAAGGTCTATTTTTTTGCTGTTTTATTTGAGAACGGCCTTAGGTTTCCTTTACACCTCTTTCTTAAGACTGTTCTCCAACAATTCAATGTATGTCCAACCCAAATTTCTCCCAACTCATGGGGCATTTTTGTGGGCCTCCTTGTCTTCTTTAATAAGAATGAGCTC